ACCCATCTAGAGTTAACCAGTGTTAAACAGTGAAGTTGAAAATGATTCTGATTGGCTTGGATAGTGCATGAAGAGCTTGTACAAAATCAGCACCACTAAACTTTATACTGATTTTTTATACATGAAGCAACAATCATTAAAATTGCGAAGCTTGGCAAGTTTTGTTTAAATTCGAATTCGAACTTAAAGCCCTCAGCAATTATAATGTCCAGACAGTATGAAGGTATGAAACAGCCTGATATCGACCCAGCTGACTGTGGTGGTCCTTATAACGTGAGATCAGCTTGCGCAAAAAAAATGACGTTGGTGATAATCTCGCACAGCATCCAGCTCTATAACACACGAGAGCCACTTTCTTAATTCAGTACAAAGCACCCTGCCTCACGCTGTAATGATGTCATTCAGCATCAGTACCAGTGTTTATGCCAGTGGAAAAAAACACAAGCAGTATTCTACTTTAGGTATTTTTGTGAAGTACCAAAAGTATGGTATCTGGCCCACTGAAAAGGCACCGTAAGAATAACCTCCAGAATTCATTACTAGTGGGAGAGATACTGTGCCTTTAATTCTCCAATTCTGAAGTCTAATCAACACTAATACTGGTGTTGGTTTGACTCTGTAAAGTGACTTTACAGAGTGCAATTTTTTTAAACACTAGTGGATGTCTTATTAACACTCTAGAAAGTACCCAGAATATATTACTCTCTGTAGAGTGGAACTATACATACTCTGAAAGTATTACGATTAAGTGTATCAAGACACTGATGAGCTTACTTTGCTGATAATACAAAGGAACACTTTCAACAATGTTAAGGAATAAGCACAAGTACAATGGTAAAATACCACTAAACATACACCAACAAGTGCATTTCACCAGGTTTTCAAATACAACTCATTTGAGAGTGTTTCTGTGTTTTGTACTTTTTGGAATTTTGAGGAAAAACAAATGTAAGTGTGCATTTACCTTCCTCATCAGATACATCCTCCAGTTCTGATAGATCCCCTGAAATGTCTGATCTCTGAACATGAAGTGATTCTAAAACATAATTGAAAAAAAATAAAGTAAAATTTCAGTAATAAAAAAAAAGTTTCCCTACAAAGGCAAAATACAGTAACTACACTGAAAATGAGAAAAAGGGCTTCAAAGTTTTTTGACTGTACATCACGTAGTAGGTAGGTAACAGTGTGCTTATTAAATGTGTATTCATGATAGGGGTGTAAATCATACAATATCGATTCCTTAAGCCAACGGTTCGATTTTTTTTGATACCTCAGAAATTCCCACGATACGATACAATACAATTCATTTCGATACTGGGGATAGTAGTCGAAATGATGAAATTTCACACAATTCTTTACATTTCAAGTAATTAAAAAAGGCAAATATAATTAGCATTTTATCATATTTTATTGGGAACTGCAAACAAAATCTAGTGCAGTAAAGTATGTCCCATAAATCAAGCAAAATAAAGTGCAATAAGGTAAAAATAAAAACTTTGGATGGATGTAGATTAACATGGTGACTAATTTTTATTTTGAATCAAGTCTTCTCCAGACAGATACAAAAGTGTAACAAAAAGTATAAAAGTATGTCCATAACCGTCATGACCTGCTTGTATGACCCTCTCGTGTGCTACGCCCCTCATTAACTTCGCGTGCAATCCCGATTGTTCCCAGCTGTTTCTTATTGTTTCGTCTAGTCCTGTGTATTTAAGTCCACGTCAGAGTCTGTCGCCCAGATCTGTCAGTTTTCCCCATGTTGTGTGCTGTGCTTGCAATAACCCCGCCTGATTCCTCGTTCCCTGCTCTCCCGCCCTACTCTGGGATACAACAAGAACA